TGGACTTTTAAAACAAATATATGAAATAAACTTGTCAACAACTTCCAGGATTTAGTTACGATTTGTTTACATGATTATTTTCTTAGCGTAGGTTAGACCAAAATACCGCATCCGCTCTGTGTATTCATACTATTGTGCTCGAGGTCCTTATCCGAAGACTTACGGAAAGGGCGGAGACGTTGCGATTGACACTATCACAGTTAGGCAAACAAACGAAGACACACTAGTTAGGCAAATCCCAACCAGATACAACCTTACAAGGAGGATACAATACAACAGTGATCAACAGAAAATGATACACAGGTTACAAACGTACGCTATTGAGAATATCATTGGAGCTCTAACTGTTACACATTATATATTCCCCAATAGCGTATGCATGTAAAAAAAGCATGATTGCGGCGGTTAATCTTACAATATAATAGCCCTCTCAATAATTAAAACAAAAACAAAACAGATACACACAAACAAACAAGCATTGAATCAATGTCAAGCAAACGACAAATCAAACTATTGTGAATCGCCAGAAAGCATATACAGTAAACTCCGCTTATAACAAACACACAGGGACATTCAAAATATGTTCCTTATATCCGGAGTTCCTTGTAAGCATATAGCAAATTAGGTCAGGAGTTTTTATAGCGAACAGATTTACAAATAACGAACTGATTGTTTACCATCGTCCGCCATTTTGTACTTTTTTTCTGAGCGATACTCATGCCTAGAATCTGAATCTATACCCAAACTTTAAGGAAACTGTGCAAGTTTTAAGATAAATATAGATTTATCAGTGTAATATAGTATATCAGTGATCTTATAACATGTATTTTCACTGTCTTCATTCTCTATTCAAAAAGAGAAGGCACCTTATTATTCACCACTTATCCAAAGACACCTTGACGAAGGAAACATAGAAGATGTGTGGAATAAGTTCATTGGGGAGACAGCTAACTACTACTACTATGAGAAGTTTCCTGACATTGGCAGTCATGAGCAATACCGAGCAATTGGGGAAAAATTTATCTCCTTTATCCATGCATAAAGAATGAAAGCAGCCACCCATGAGTGAGCAGGATTATTTTTGTTAAAGAAATAACTCACTTTGAGGAAGACTTACAGCTTTAAATCTTTTGAACTGAGTTACAAAAATGTAATTTTAACCATACCCTGCAAACAGCAACTAAATCTTTCTATGTGACCAGCACAGACAGATATATGTCATCTGATCATGATTTGCTCTGTTTGAAATTTAGTCTAAATGGTTTGTAATTTTTTTTTAAATGTTAAATGACTTTATGATGATTCACAATGCATATATTTTATGTATTTTATTTTTGGAATGATTTTATTTTTGCAACCAGAGCCAGTTGCACGAATCCAAAACGTGGCCAATCTATAGATACAAATATCTAATTAAACATAATGAATTTATGTGTATATCAAAGTGTCTTATATAGTTTACAACATACACTGTTATTAGAAGTATGCCATCGTTGTACCTTTCAAGATCAATGAAAAAATAATAACTGATTTTATAATTAGCATGCTTTCATAAACAAATAATAAATATAATAACAATTTCGCAAAGAGTTGCCAATCAAAGCGAATAATTTATGTTAACATAGTGTATTTTGACCTATTAAAACTGAAATTTCCACAGCACAATATTATGTATATCCCTGAATCTTTCACCAGCAAATCCATTTAGGCATTCGTAAATTATCTTCTCAATTTAGATAAGAACATTTGTCCATTGAAGAATCTACTGTCATGAACTTGTCATTTAATGAGATTATAAATAATAATTAATTACAAATATCAAAACTTGATTTTGAAAATTCAAACATTTTAGAGAAACTTCTATAAAGTCGAAATAAATAGATTTTTACATAGTTCAAAGAAACAATATCACATAAATTCATTACAATAATTCTTCATAATTACGCCACACACAGTCAATGAGTTGCAAACAATCATCAACTATAAAACTCGAGAAGAAAAGCTCAATCAGCAAGTATTAAATTCACGATAAATTGTCATTATCTCTATGCAAGATATAGAGGATATTTGGTTGTTTGTGTGTAAGATGAAATTTTATTTCATCGAGTGGGCTTTAAAAACAGTATTATTAAACTGTTTTTAAAGTTCACGAGATGAAATAAAATTACATCTTACACAACAAACAGACAAATTTTATTTTTATTTTATGCTTGAAAACAAGTTAAAACGAAATTTCCATAATTTTAACGTTAATATTAAAATCTGTTTCCCCCATTGAGAGCCCCATTTAGACGGAATTTCTCATTTAAAACAAGAAGTCTTGAGCTGAAAAATAAGTCCGCCAATCAAGGTTAAATGACGGTGATATTTATTCATTTTATTAAAAAAATATGAATGATCGCTTGTTTTAATAATAAAAACAAACAATTCTTGTAGGAGAAAAAGTCCAACCATTCATCCATAGTTCTGTTACTTACTGCGAATTTATATCAGACCTGGCTTTGTAAAATGTAAGCGGCAGCCATTTTTTAAAGTTGTGTATTTCATGGGAGGAAAATAATTGTGTAAGATTCAGAAAGATGTTATTTGGATTTGTGAGTCATACACCTTTTTAAAAGAAAGAAAACTTATTTGAGGATTGTAACAGACAAAAAATAAGTGTTAACAGAAGTGAAAACATTCAGAAAAGGAGCTAGGAAAATTGAAAACTTGGAAGCTTGCTAAGGAACGCTGGGACTGGGTTGTTTTACTTATTTTACGAGTGATGGCTGTCAATGCTTTTCAATTTTTTAAAAAGCATACGGCAGTTATTGCTCGTAGGATACTTTAATATGCCCAAATGTCATCAAGAGCGGTTTTGCATGGGGAAGGAATGTATTTTTCAGAATGTAAAAACGAAACAAAAAAATTTAGAGACGACATTTGGTGATTGGAATTTGAAGGAATAGAAGTAAGTTTTCTCTCTTTATTACTTTTGACATTTAAGTTATTTATCTATTTCAGCTTTGCTATTTCTTTTAACAGCCTGACATTGTCAGAATTGTCAGTAAAAATAAAATTGAGGTACCACATGGGGAAAATCTTAAAAAAGTAGTTTCGTCATTGAAAAAAGTGAAATTATATTTTGATAATTTTCACTGTGAAATTATTAAATATAATTTTCACGGATAAATCAGTAATCCACTCAAAAGCATACAATAAAAGGAAACACGTATAAACTCACACACAAGCATATTGATATGCGTGCATGTACGGACATTGTGAAAATTGTGCACACAGGAAGTCGAACATATACACATTAAATTATTACTGTAAAAACATAAGCTGAATACCGGTAGGCTTTTGAAGAATTTTCAATGAAAACACATTTGATGCAAACAAAATGTTTTAAGAAAAACAGAAAAAGAAGTTGACAATGAATTTGGCAATGAAAATTCTCGGAATTAATAAACAGTTTCAGAAAATGCTACATTCATTGAAGAAATTTATTTTCAGAATGTTTCATATTTACGTAGGTCAACTTCTTTATTTAAGACTTTTATATGTAACATTTACGGCACACAAACCCTGTAAGTGAAAAGCTAGCTTACCTTCAAGAGTGGTTAACTGTTCTTATGTACGGGATACTTTTTTTAAGTACATTTACCACCTTTAGTGTTTGAAAATTGTAATGCTTGTTTTGAGTTTAATGACATTTTACCAACGTTGTTACATTCCTTTTTGTCTTTGAGGATTCTCGTCCCGAGACTTGGTCTGGGAAATGTGTGGGTACGACAACTCCGGTCTGGCAGTTGTTCAAATCCCATCGCCGCTGCCAACAAATGTAATGTTTTAAGGCACACAAACCTTGTTGATGCTTTTTTATCAACAGAGTACATTTTGTGCCGTACATAAGTATAACAAAAATTACTTCATTATATTATCTTTACGCATTCTAATTTAGATTTCATTAAATATACCAATACCATAGAAATGTTGTTATTTTATCAATCCATATAGATATATAATCAGTGTATGTTCTGTATAAGTAGGTTTATTTTTAAACCGCATTATTTTGATGAAATTGAATATTTTGAACTATAAATATTCCTTTGTTCTATCGCCTATCTCTTCAACAAAGTCAAATTGTACTGGGTGCATGTTAAGATGGCATTAACTTTCGTTTTTCATACAATCGAGTTTTTCACAAAAGAAGATGTAGAAGAATTACTGAAGACGTCGTGCGAATTTTCTCAATACATGTACATGTATAAGGTATGTTTTAATTGTTTAATTATGTTTCAAACTTGTGTAAAAACTTTAAATTTGTCGAAGTGAATTACTGTAAAAAAATTGATTTGAAGAAGTGTTATGTCCTAGAGGGTTTTGGTATATTCTCCATCATTTTTTACGACATTTACGGTTATAAACAAACATTATACTTTAAGATATATAACTCTCAAATTTGATATTCGAAAATACTAAATTTAAGTGAATATCTTATGAGTACATATAAAGAAAACATGTAATGATCTAGACTCTACATACTATAAGTAAACAAGGTTGTATCCAGCTGATAAAATATCTATATATGTCAGTGTTCATCTGTGCTGTGCTACTTCAAAGAGAACGGTAGCGAAATAGTTCAAAACCATGCGATAACATTTAGTAAAGTATACGATGTTAAAATGATAAAGTTTGATTTATATAGCGAAACAGTGGTATTCCAGTTCTATTTTTATTTATGAAATAGATAAATGAAAATAGGAATGTGAAAACCCGTTTGTTACTAAAAACGGCAAATATGTCAATATCTTGCAATCTTAATTCATTCAGCTGAAAAGGCTCCATGGAGTAAGTAAGTTTTGAGCTTTGTTAAAATAATTCTTCGTCTTATTTTTATTTTCATTTTCTCCAATGTACGCTGCTGTCTAAATAAATTATAATTATATTTCTTATTTGTCCATATTTTGTTAGAAAATGTTAAAATACACTTATACACTAGATACACTTAACATTTTAGAGAGCTATTTTAAGGAGCATGTCATGAAGTGGTTGCACACTTGGCTCAAGCTAGAAAACCTGTTGCAAACTTGACAAATTGTCTACCGAGTAATGAATATTTACAACACCGACACGTATTTTCTACGGGTAAGTGGGTCTGTATGTTATTTTGATTTTTATGCCCGTTCCTTAAAGCAATGCTTATCACACACTCGGTTTTAGGTTTCAGCTTCCTAGCCTCTGATTTGACGAAGTTATTGAAGATAGAAACTGCTCGTGTATCTTGTTTGACAGGTAAAATGACAGCTTTTACAACCCGCATCAAAAGAAACTTCAGCATGACACCCATAATAAAAAACATGTAAGCAAATACTCTTTATCTGCTCGGTTTGATTATCTTCAATTTGAAGTTTAAGTAATAGAAAGAGAATCGAAACACGAGGGTACGTGATTTGTACGAGGGGGCGTAACCCCCGAGTCTCCAAAGTTCTAATCAGATTGCCGAGTGTTTTGATGTTCTTTTTTGTATCATAGTCAAACATAAAAACACGTTCCTGCTGTCGCAATATGAAACCCCAGAAAGAAGTAACAAATAAACGAGTAGCTTAATATGATATTTCTATCGCTTTTCCTTTCTCTGCCGTCACAATAAGTAGACTCCAGCAAAAAAAAGCCAATCAACGGGTATGCTCTTGAGTGCGGTTAACTAATACCTGCGCTACAGTAAATGCACTGTGCATTTATATATATACGTTTTAACTCTTTTTCTTCAACAGAAAGGTCCCAAACTATGATGCAAGTTATGTTGTCAAAATAAGACTAAATGAAGTAAATGTACATTGTTCGCTGTGATAACAAAGATAATCGGAAATTATTGTTTGTTTACTTAACATCACTGTATAAGTCGAACACGATAATGTTTACATTAATCGGTCGTACCATTATGATAAATAATTGGTTGTGCAAGTTATTCAGGTTTTACATTTTGCATTTTTATTGCAATGTAGAATAATAATAATGGACATGGAGTAGCGTAGTGGTTAGAGAGAGATCATGTTAAGAAAATGTTTTTGTTTTTCGAGTTCAAATCTGCAATTGTGCAATGTTTATTTTTGTTTCATTGTTTATTTTACTATCAGAAATCATTTTCATATTCTCTTTTATAAACCTTTGATTATTTGATATTTTGTACAATTTAAAAATGGAATGTATTTGACTTAACAGTCATTGAACAGATTGAATATCATTGTCTGAATTTAATTTGCTACATTTTTTAAACAATTTCGGCTCATTTGTATATTTATATATTTAAATTTCTTCCATTCCTCATTTATTACTCTTATCATGACTGTGTTGCCTCTAACTTAACCTTTTAAAAGCGAATGTGTGTAAACCAAATGTTCTCATATAGTATTTTGTGAAATAAATTCACGAGGAACTAAAATCCAGTTCGTTGAAAAAATATATAAAAACAAAAAAATATAAGAAATGAAAAAAACACTTTTCAAGGAATCGAACCAGGGTCTCTACAGTTACGAAGTCAACACTCAACCACTACGCTATTACGCTGAACGGATGACAAATATTAGTAATTGTTTTGGTGGTTCAAGATTTAGGCGAGAAAAAGTATACTTTTATTTAAGAGTTTTCGACACCCATGTTTGTCAGTATTCATGTAAACAGATAATGAAAGGAATAGCAAATTCGTTTTGTATTATCATAATAACGTGTCTATCACAGCAAATACATTTTTGTTCATACACGGTAGTTAACGGTCAATTTATGCATTCTTTTCCTTCTTTACGAATCGTTGATAAATGTTTAAATCATCCTTCATTTAATTTTAAGGACGTTTTGGGGAGTTTTCATATAGACATATAGGCAAAATTAAAACTGTTCAATAGAATTTCTTTAAACTTGTTAACAGAAACATTTTAAGCGAACAAAAATGGGGTCACCGTTCTCATTTTTGAGTTATCTGCCCTTGAATTGGACTTTTTTTGTTAAATTCAAGGGCAGATAATTAACAATGAATGAAAACAATACATTTTTTTTCTTATTTTCATGAAGCTTTCCTTCGTTTTAGTTGATATGCAAAATTTCAAGAACAAATTTAGAGTGGGTAGTTTTTATTCCCACTTCTTCTATTAACCTATGCATTTTTTTCTTAAAAAATGACCTATTTTTTAAAAATTTAAAGTACCTTTATTTTCATTAAAAAAAAACAACAAAGTAAAAACAAGAATTCATTTAAGTATGTATAAGTTATCTGCCCTTGAAATGACCTCAAATAAGTAGAAAATTCTGATTCAGGGGCAGATAACTCAAAAACGAGAACGGCAACCCCAATTTTTTTCGCTTAAAATGTTTCTGTTATCATATCCTAACAACAGGCCAAGTTTATAGAAATTCTATTGAACAGTTTTAGTTTTGCCTATATGTCTATATGGAAACACCCGAAAACGTCCTTAAAGAATATGTATATGTTAGTTGAAAATGGCCAATATGTTTGTGCTTGTTTGTATTTTCTGCGTGGAATTACAAAGAAAACGACTCCGACATTAAAAGCGGCGGTAGTTGATTGATTGCATGAAATATTGTTATGTCACGTCGCCAAAAAAGTCGGACCTACTACATTAAGTTTAGCATGCGCTTTTCGATCCAAACCCTTAATTATTAAGTACTCGTACTTCACTTCTTTCTGGTCCTTCGGGATCATTGTTGCCAGCACTATTAAGTGTTGAGAATTGTTGATTACTTAATCATTATCCCTCATGTACAGACTCAATGAAGCTGAGTATGCAATTTTCATGTAATTTTGTTGTGATTAATGCTTCCGAGGGATCACTTTCTTTCCAGATTTTTAGTTAATTAGTGACAAATTTTGCCTGTCTAAACGATCAGAAAAGGGCCTTTTTGTAAATTGGAGCGATTTCACTGGTCGGCAAATGATGTTGAACACTAAACATATTAAAAGCTCATATGACAAACAATATACTAATAAATGCGTAATATATCATCTTTACAAACAGAACCATCACACTTAAGCACATTATGCTCAACACATGCATTATAAAGCAAGCATTGTAATGTGCATACGACGCAGTCTGAACGTTGTCACAACGTCTTATGCGTTGACGTCAAAATATATAGAGGATATTCGTTTGTTTGTGTGTAAGATGAAATTTTATTTCATCGAGTGGGTTTTAAAAACAGTATTCTCACGAGTGGCGTGTTTGATTCAGAGGGATATCATTTGGATTAGTTAGTCATTCACCTTTTTAAATGAAAGAAAACTTATTTGAGGATTGTAACAGACAAAAATTAAGTGTTGACAGATGTGAAAACATTCACAAAGCAGCAAGGAAAATTGAAAACTTCAAAGGCTGGCTCACGAACGCTGGGTTGTTTACTTATTCTTCGGGCTGATGGCTGTCATTGCTTTTCAAGTTACGGCAGTTATTGCTCGTAGGATACTTTAATATGCCCAAATGTCATCAATGCAGTTTTTTTTTCAGACTGTAAAAATGAAACAAAAAATTTAGAGACGAAATTTGGTGATTGGAATTTTAATGAATAGAAGAAAGTTTTCTTCTTTTTCTTACTTTTGACTTTTAAGTTATTTATCAATGTCAGCTTTGCTTTTCTTTAAACAGCCTAATATTGTCAGAATTGTCAGCAAAAATAAAATTGAGGTACCACATGGAGAAAATCTTTAAAAAGTAGTTTCGTCACTGAAAAGTGTGAAATTATATTATGATAATTTTCACTGTGAAATTAAAAAAAATATAATTTTCACGGATAAATCAGTAATCTACGGAAGAGCATTAGTGCCAGGTGTATGTTTTTTTATTAACTCGAAATTTCGAGGTACTCACTCGAAATTTCGAGTTACTTATTACGAATTTTCGACTTACTAACTCGAAATGTCGAGTTACTTATCTCGAAATTTTTACTTACTAACTCGAAATTTCGACTTACAATGCACGACTTTCATTGGTTGCCGGTGAAAGCAAGGATTGAATTCAAGATACATGTACTTTCTTTCGTGTGTAGCTGTTGCACATTGACAGAGCACCTTTAACATTTACTTAACAGAACAATTCAATAGGTTCAAATTGTCCACACATACTGAACATATCCTTTCCTTTTTTGTGGAGGGGGGGGGGGTGTAAAGTGTACATTTCAGTGTTAACCGGATGTTTCTTTTTCTTAAGCACACATACAACCATCATATGAAGAAACAACAAGTCCAAAACCCACCCTATTGTAAACCGTGCAATATCATGTGTTACATAAGTTTTAAATGGCGTGTATACGCCAGTTAGTCTGTCACGTTTCTTTATACTAATAATGTTTTTGTAACATTATTCATTATTTTCTAATACTTTGATTCATATTGTGTTGATAAAAAGTGATAAAAGTGAAACTTGTTGTTATATATATGTTGGGAATAATATAAAAGCATCCGATTTTACAAGAAATATAGTCAGTCCAACAATTTTGACAAAGGCCTCAGCATGCCCTATTTTGGCCACGCCGCGATACTTTCCTCAGATGTCCCACACGTGAAGTATAGGATCGTTTTATTCACAGGGATGAGAAGAATATGATTAGTGAAAAGATATGTTCGAACAGATGGGATACAATACAACGTCTGAAGAACGCCTGAACGTACAAATTAAAGGAAGCCTTGTATTTTTTAGGTCGGGTGTGTACATGCAATTACTAAGTTTAAGTTAAATTTCAAAAGTTTTTGTCCAGGCACCCGTTTCTCCATCTCCATCGTTCAACGGCACTCCCTACTATATCTTATATCATCTAACTAATAACTTTGGCCATTTTTGTAATGTTAATAAGTCGAAATTTCGAGTTACTAAGTCGAAATTTCGAGTTACTAAGACGAGATAAGTAACTCGAAATTTCGATTTAGTTTGTCGAAATTTCGAGATAATAAGTCAAAATTTCAGATTAGTAAGTCGAAATTTCGAGTTAGTAACTCAAAATTTCGAGATAAGTAATTCGAAATTTCGAGTAAGTAAGTCGAAATTTCGAGTTAGTAACTCAAAATTTCGAGATAAGTTAGTCAAAATTTCGAGTTAGTAACTCGAAATTTCGAGTTAGTAACTTGAAATTTCGAGTTAAATAAAAACATACACCTGGCACAAATGCTCTTCCGTAGTAATCCACTGAAAAGCATAAAATAAACTAAATTGTTTAGAAAGTTTTTGCCGCTGTACGCAAAATAAGTTCGATGCTTTATAACCCATTTGGTGAATTATATTTATTGTTATGATAATATTTTTAAAACTCTTAGGTTTAAGGCATCTGGACCGCCAACTTAACGAAAATGCTTAGGTCATAAAGATATCTCAAAGTACTTTTTTCCTTTTAATACATCTTTAATTAGTAAAAAGAACCGTTTTTATTATTAAATAACTTTTCTCCGACTTCACGTCGCTTGGCCGCAAACTTAAAGCAACTGGGCCGTTAGGTCAACAACTTCGCGACGCTGGGCCGTTATACCGCCAACATCACGTCGCTAGGATGCCAATTTCACGTCGCTAGGCCGCTGGGCAGCTATGCCACGAACTTCATAAATCTTGTGAAAAATAATAATTATCCTAAAATAATTTTTGACTCTAGAAAAATGCTTTTCCTTATGTTTAGTAAACGTGTTTCCAAAGATTATTTAAAAAAATAAGTAATAACATGTCGTAGTTGTAAGTCCAAACATTAATAAGCGACAATCCTACCAAGCACTCAAATCAGCCATGTTACGGTGAGCATTTGAAACTGAGCAGCCTACGACTGGAAGAATCTACCCTACAACTCATACTGGCAGCTTTTTAACATAATAAAGGGCTTCACTGAAATAGATCTTGACAGGTCGCAGGTACTAGTGTTGAAAGAGGGATCCTACAAATAGTTCAGCTACAGGTCATTATAACTACTGAAACCCTCCGCAAAGAGATGAAGTCCTGAAAGAAAAATCCAGTCTCAAAGTACTCAGAAATGACATTTCACGTACACGTACAAAGTCGCCGCTTTGTCCGTCCGTCCGGTTGTCCGCTCTAACGGGACAATAATACTGTGGCTAGAAGGACAATGTGGGTAACTGTTCTTTCTTTTTGATGTCATTCATTCCGTAAAGCTTTTATGTACCTATTTTCTTTTGTGTGGCTAAAAAGAACAATAGAGTGAACAATAGAGTAGCCACATTAATATTGTCCCGTTAGAACATCCGTCCGTCCGCTTTTGTTGTCCGGGACGTAACTTTGTAACAACAAGAGGTATCAACATGAAACTTTGTAAGTAGGTAGAAGTCGTTAAGTAAATGTGCAGTGCATAAGAAATGTAACTTTGCATTCCTAATTTTTGAGTTATTGCCCTTTGTTCATATCATTATTTTGAACTTTGTCCGGGTTAGAACTCTGACACTATAACAGATATGAACGAGAAACTTTGTAGGTAGATAGATCTCATTGGGTAGATGTTCAGTGCATAATAATTGTAACTCTGCCTAATTTTGGAGTTATTGACCTTTGTTCATTTTTATACTTGGAACCTTGTCCTGAACATACCTCTAAAACTATAAGAGATATCAACATGAAATTTTGTAGGTAGATAGATCTTATTAGGTTTAGATATAGGGCATAAAATTGTAACTCTACACGGCCTAATTTTGGAGTTATTGCCCTTTGTTCACTTTTATACTTTGAACTTTATCGGGACATAACTCTAAAACAGAAATATCGACATGAAACTTTGAAGGTTGATATCTTATCGGGTACATGTGCCGTGTACAAAAACCGTACCTCTACATTGCCTTATTTTGGAGTTATTGACCTTATTTTTATTTTTATACTTGAACATTGTCCGGGACATAACTCTTAAACTATAAGAGATATCAACGTGAAACTTTGTATGTAGATAGATCGCGTTGAGTAGAAGTGCAGTGCAAAAGAAATATTGCCCTTTTGTCATATTTACATTTTGAACTTTGTCCGGGTAATTACTTTGACACTATAAGAGATATGAACATGAAAGATATATATGGTAGATATATATAATTAGGTTAATGAACAGTGCAAAGAACAGTAACTCTGTCTTGCCTAAGATTGGAATGATTGAACTTTGAATTTTATCAGGGACATAACTCTGGAACTATTACTATTATTATATTACCAACACATAAGGGTTGACATATTTAAGGTTTTATAACAATGTTCATATATATATATATATGCATATATATATAAGCATGTGTATAACGTTTCAATATCATTTTGTAGGATGGCAGACAACTATTATCGACTGGTGACATTTGTCGTGAATATCTGCCCGAAACCTTTAAGAGCCTTTTTTGTCTCTAAGGCAGAAACCGATCCAATCTATCGCTATACTGACGTAAAAGACTATCTACATATTCGGCAACCTGACATTCGAAATATACGGCAAATCAGACAAGATCAACTTGATCTCATCTATCCACCTTTTGGGTCTGTTGATATAAAAAATTGGGACGTTACTCTGCTGATACTCTTGCTTAAGGAATTATTTCCAAAACGATTACAACCAAATGAAAGAGACTGCCTCCGTGATATTACTGAGATCAGAAACTATTTACAACATATTGCAAGCACTGAACTTGTAACTGACCAACAATTCAACACAGCATGGTGCTGCCTGAGAGATGCTGTTGTGATGTTAACGAAGCTGTCCGGGTCAAAGACATTAGTCGACATAGATGACCAGATTAAATCGGTATTACATGGTAACATGCCATCTCTTGCAAATGTGCTGAATACATGGCTCAAGTCTCTTCACTGTGAACTTTTGTTACAAAACTCGAAACTTACCGAGGAAATGAAAAATCTAAAAGAACTACTCCAGTTGCAGCATACAGAAGTAATAGCTGCAAAAGAAAACGCTGGAGAAGCAAAAAAGATTTTAACAAAGGCAGCTGTAAAAAAGAAGGGACGCTCAGGTATTGTATTAATTCCTGTTAAAATTGTTTGATGTTAACAAAATATTGATAAGAATGTAAGCTTTTGTAACGCTGCTACGCATTAACAATTGTGTGTCTAATCAAGACACTATTTTGTTTGAGCAACCATAGTACGAAGACCTAACGTGAGCATTTCATTTCAGGTGTTGCTGAAAAAAGAATGAAAATTGTTGATAAGAAAATCGATCGAATGAAAGGTAAAACGTTTTCACCTTTGCATAAATTAATATCTGCCTGCTTAGATCAATAGGGAGAAAATCGGATTTGAAAATCAGGGGTCGCTGGTTCGATCCTTAGGCGAGGCAAAATCTCGCCATGGACTGTTCTTGAAAATTAAGTCTTATGATCATCGTTGGGTGGACCGATCTCCGAGATACTAGTATAAGCATAAGCTTATTCACCTCCTCCCTGATACAGCTACATGTACTTTCTAACAAATCATTCATACACATTAAGTTCTGAAATATTGTATACTTAAGGTAGATATTTCTATATGGTTTGTTTTCAACGGACCACTTACTAGTCCTTTCTTATATCGCCCCTACATAGCCATTATGTTTATTGTGTTTTATAATATTATATTGTTTCTGCAAATATCGGTCGGTCTGTCGATATGTTGGTCGATCGGTCCGCGGGTCGGTATACCACTTTGTTTCCGCTCAATAACTAGAGAATGATTTTACCCACAACCTTCTGACTTCATAGGTTGATCACCCTTATTTAGTCGTTTTGGGGCACCGATGTATGAATGTCAAGGTCGCAGTGACCTTGAGTGTGAGAACTTTTTCCACGCAATAAAAAGCACCATTTGATCTACAGCCTTCAAACTTCATGTTTTAGGATGTTTACCCTTATTCGTAAAAGACCCTATTTTTGGGCACTGATGCGTGAAGGGCAATGCCACTGTGGTTTTGAATGTATAAAGCATTTCCGCTCAATAGCTTGAAACCATATTACCTGCGACCTTCAAACTTTATAGGAATGTCATCAATATTGAGTAGGAAACCCCTTAAGTTTTAGGCGCAGATATGTGGTGGTCGACGGGTCGACAACACATTGACCTTTAATGTGAAAACTGTTTCTGCTGAAAACGCTGGAGAATAATTTGACATACAGCCTTCTAACTTTCAATATCTTAAAAACCAAATGACTCATAGCCTTCATTGTACATAAGATTATCACCCTCATTGATTAGAAAATTGTTTATTGTTTTGGGCAAAGGTACATAAAGTTCTAGATCATAGTAACCCTGACTGTGATAACTCAAGAACAGGAAAAATAAAATCATTGTTTGTTAGTTTTTTCAATAGAGGACGCCTCATATGATTAATCTTAAAAGTAAACTTTAAATGTATATTAAAAATATCATATTTATTGATATGCACTAGTGGCATTGGCATTCAGTGCATATTTCAGTGCATACTAATTTTGTATAACTATATAGCGTATGTAAGCATACGGGTATGTCTTTCACTCAACAATATATTGACTGAAATCATTCATCGATTTAACCTGTGTTTACAAATATTTACTTTCATTACCTTCACTTTAGCGTGTCGCTCACGGTCATGCTAAACTGATTCAATTGATAAAGTTAACACTTTATCACTCATAGTAAACTATATATACCTATATCGTAGGTTAACTTTGTCACGGTATATTTTAGTTTTACATTGATTTATTGCTGTTTACATGAGTACATTTAGATGTTTCATCACTGTCCCGATGCTAATTACCAGTACAATGTTATTTTTTTTTAAATTTTCTGTCAGGTTGTTCTGTATATAAACTTGACATGAATAAACGTTTATGTTGTTGTTGTTGTTGGCAGTAAAACTGTCTTAATACCTGTTTCTTTTTGTCTTGATTTGGCAAGAAACTAGAAACACTTCATTGCACTGAGTCAAGGTGTGAAAACTTTAAATGACTTAAATCACAGTTATTCACTTTCTTATCTTTTTGTCAAATAATTCATGATCAAAGCAATCTACCAAGATACAGGTATATATTTACAAAAAAGAATAATAATAGGTGAATCTGACAATATCCAAGTGTAATAATCCTTATAGCGTTAGAAATGACTGTGATAGTTAAAAGCTTTGTCAACCTACTGTATTGAAAAACATTATTGTGTACTCACAAATACCAAAAAAACATTTTTTGTCAAATTATTTTACATGTTTTATTTGAGTTTGAAATCCTATTTCCAATTTAATAGAGATAACGAAATAACAATATATATAAAACTTTTAGGTAAACTCGGGAGAGCACTGTTAGAAGAAAACGACTGCAAAGAAAATTTCAAGCACGCAATTTCTGAGATTTTAGAACAGCTTACCGATAATCATCGTGTGATTGTGACCGGGTTTGACAACAAACTAACATATAAATGTGCACTTGCCGCCGTACAGGAAAGAAAGTACGACCGAATTGATCAATGTTTAGAAATAAACAACCCTTCAGACTGGAAAAGAATTTGCTCTGAAGATGCCCAGTTTGTCCTGTTTCGGGAACCGTTTGGGGTATCAACTTATGATTCTCAAAAAGTTGAAGTGATGTGTGAAGAATTTGACAATATGATACAAGCAACTGATGACGATAATGATGATGTCATTGATATTGTCATAGTAACCAACCAAAGGCTCCTGAATGAGGTGACTAGACGTAATGAACATGAGATGCTATCACCATCTTCGACCGTATACATAGATTCTACAACGGAGAAATCAACAGGTAGCTATGGTTGTCTTCTATATTTACAGAAAAATGGTTGTAAATGGGCTTAAAGAAAATTGAATATTATTTTTCGAACAGAATACAAGCCATATTTTAATGCTCATATCTTCTAACATTATTAACAAACAAAGAATAAAAATAACCTTTTTGTGGCCAAAAGTAAGAATAAAAGTAACTACGTCACTTTAAATCACTCCAAATACTGTTATGATTCTTCCAGCATTACTATCAACACTGTAATGATTCTGCAATTGTTACTCTAAATTATGTCATAATTCTGCTATCATTACTCTAAATAATGTAACGATTCTGCTATCATTACTCTAAATAATGTAATGATTCTGCTATCATTACTCTAAATACTGTAATGATTCTGCTATCATTACTCTAAATACTGTAATGATTCTGCTATCATTAATCTAAATAATGTAATGATTCTGTTATCATTACTCTAAATACTGTAATGATTCTGCTATCATTACTCTAAATACTGTAATGATTCTGCTATCATTAATCTAAATCATGTAATGATTCTGTTATCATTACTCTAAATACTGTAATGATTCTGCTATCATTAATCTAAATACTGTACGGATTCTGCTATCATTAATCTAAATCATGTAATGATTCTGTTATCATTACTCTAAATACTGAAAGGATTCTGCTGTTATGATTACTCTTATACTGTTATGTATGTTAATCCAGTTAATGTTTTATCATTCATTCAGGTTAACTTCTGTTATAATTTCAGTTATACTATAAAATCATTAGAAAATACGACTTAAACTTATATTCACTAAGGCATTATGTGGTATTAAATGAACGTCGAATATTATTGTACTGTACAGAAATATTTCCCATGTTAAGGTTGTTTTTTTTTTTAATTTTTATAATAATTATGCTTTATGTACAGATATGCTAGTTTTATTGAATTTGCATCTATCTGAAATAAATACTTTGTTATCATGATTCGTATAAATATTTAGATATATACATGAATATTACAGACGAGAGTATTACAGCAGACGACGCTGTCCACAGAAACCTTCTTGGTAAGTCTATATATAAGATATTACAATATTTTAGATTGACAAAAATCGATAGAAAAGATCATCTGAAGTTGAAGTTACAGTAACCTAAGTTGAACGTCATTTAATATTATGTTAAATTAAATTGTTTATTGTTTGAAACTTGATATAAAAACGGGTTGATTGGAAACACCTTAGACAAACAGACAATACAAACTACATGTATTTTATGTTAAGCTTAAGGTAGTCTTACTGTTTTGCTTTCTTGCCAAAGGATTCTAACATCGGCCAATATCAAAGCAAATCGGTTATTTCCGGAAGGTTTTTTAAATCTTAAGCATTAGATTAGTTACAATCACTCATCATTTATCGCTTTGTAATAAACGGTTAAAAATTATTGAATACCGAAGATCGTGGAAAATACATTCCGAAACGATCGATTAATTACGGTATTGGCCGAAGTGTTTTTTTGCGGGAAAGCATTAGTGTAACACTACATTAGCTTACTGATTACAAGCATAATTAATGCTTTATGTCTGTTAATATGTCCGAAGATTTATTAGTCGCCGGTAGAAACCGGCGACTATACTTTAAACAGTTTAATATTATACATATGGTAGAAGCCCTTAAAATCTGAAAATAAAAGCATATCAATCATTGAACAATTAAAGACCACAATTATTTTTCAGTAATCTCAAAAATTCAAACATATGATAACTTTACTCAGTGAAATGAAATATGCACATATTGACATATTAAAAAGCAACATTACATTTTTTATAAAATGAATCAATAACGTATCCCTAAGGATCAGTCATTGAATATTAGGGTTACTTTTACTTTTTTCTATGTGTCAAGCGTTGCTATTTTATGATATATAAATCATGAATGATATTTGAAATGTCACTTTAAAATTATTTGGTTGTTTATATTTTATGAGACCATATTACATCATTTTATTTAATTATAAATAAATTCTCCCGGGTCTTTCCTAAGAATCACGTTGTATGGTATCGGTATAAAATCTATTAATAGTAACAGATTGCTGATAATTGTTAATGGTTATTTTTCATTAATCAGTTTCATATTTTATTTCATTAGAAAAAGCTGTATACTCATATTTTACACATTAAGAAATAAATTTTCAAAACCTTTTCCTTTTTCTTGGTAAAGGGTTAAACTTGGGTCTTTCTGTCAAACTTTTGACAAGAACGTTCAATAGTTTAGTTTAGGTTGAACATCACAAAATAATTTTATGCTTTAGAGGCACATTATTGAAATATATAATGGTAAACGTTGATTTCGTTGGTTCCGTCGCGCAGGTTTCCAAAACGGTATGACGGTAGGGTCCGGAATCGTATTAGACACGTAGAAAAAAATAAACTATCTTTGTGTTGATAGTTTATCGCACTGAAAGGCAGTTAAACGTTAATTTTATATATCGTATGTAACGATTGGAATACATATATTGATTTAAATATATATTTTTTCGATAAGCATAATAATGATGTACAACACTTTTACAGTATAACTGCATTGTTTCATGAAATAATTAAACATATATATTTTCATAGTCACTTTGCAAATATTCGATGATCGGTAATTATTTGTCGGTTATTATCTGAATCTGAACTAGTAACCTATACGGATTTCAATGTATGGTACAACAGTATGTGTATAAAGTACAATTACAAGAAGAATTACCTTTACAAGCCTCAGTGGCAAACATTATTCAACTAATTGTTCCTCTTATTTTTATACTTGAACCATTAATCTTATATTGTCTTATATTTATGATAATACAATCATTTTTCTATCCGGCGACTAGATGCTTTAGCATCAAAATCTCAACTTGTCTTCTATTGTTAAGGTAAACATTTTTCATTTGTAAAGTTAACTGGAATAAAGATGAAAATCAACGTCATATATTGTGTTAAATTAAATTGTTAAATGTTTCAAATTTGATAGAAAAACGGGTTAATAGGAAACACCTTAGACATACAGACAATACTTCATCAAAATATTTTATATTTAACAGTCATATCAAGCTTACTGATTACAAACTGACATCGGAAAGAATAAAAAATGCTTAAATGTCCGTTAATATGTCCGAAGCTTTATCTTATATTGTTAAGGTAACCATTTTTCATTTGTAAAGTTTACATGCTTTTCTATGTATTTTGCTTTTCTAAATGAATTGTTTTATTTGTGTAGAAATGTCAAGGATGTTCAAGAAGGGATATAAAATAAAAGAAGTCAACAGTGAAACGAAAGATAAGGCAGAAAGTCTCTTCTTAAAGCATAGTATGGTGGTCATTGTTGGACCAACTGGAAGTGGTAAAATGAGCCTTGTATTTGAGTTGTTGTCCTCGTACGACCTCAGCAATGGAGAAGATAATTTTCTCGTTATCTCTGACCCAGGCGAGTTGAAGTATATCAAGTTCTCGTTACATCCGGTTATCATCATCAAAATTTATGAACAAGCGAGTAAGTGGTACAGTCAGTTTGACAGACTGTATGCAGCGGTAAAGGCACGCCAGATAGCCGTTATCACAACTATAGGGTTGAAGACGTTTCAAATGATGCCGGCAAATATGCTGTCACATCCAGTCTTAGAGCATGTTGTGCGCATGCCAGGAAGTGAAGGTTTGAATGAAGGTAATCTATAAGCAATTTCTCTTTCAAGCAAAGTTCGGATTTAAGTATCTCATAGCAATCTAGCACTATTATTACAGTACTGTATTGGGTATAAAGATGTTGAATAACGACCAGTCATACATTTAACAAACTTGTAGTTATTTAATATTTAAACGGTATTTATATGATTATATTTCCAGTTATTGCAAGAAAGGTACAAGGTAAATATAAAGGCTCTTTAGAACCGGAAATTTCTCTAGTGACCGGAAGCAGCGGGTACTTGTAATACACATACATTTTATAGGCTTTCAATTAATGGTGGTGTTATTTATCCACTATCTTATTTATAACTTGTCACAATCGCTCGTTAGACACATTAACATTAAAAACGTTAAAAAACGTTAAAACAGTGCCAATACATGTATTCCTTATTCGAATGTACGTTTTTTGTCTTTGCATTAGAGCGGCTCAATACAAGATTAGTATACTAACTTTTGAAGAAATAAATAAAATGATATACAGGTTGTCCGGATATTTGCAAGAAGTTTCATCATTATTATTGAATGTATCATGCGATATATGACAGAAGTTGTATCCTCATTATTGCATGCATCATGGAATATATGATAGACGTTGTATCCACAGTATTGCATGTATCAATGAGATATATGACAGAAATTGAATCCACATATTTGCATGTACAATGCGATATATGACAGACGTTGTACCCTCATTATTGTATATATAAATGCAATATGTGACACAAGTTGCATCCTCATTATTTCATGTATCATGCGATATATGACACAATTTGTATCCTCATTATCGAATTTATCATGCGATATATGACACAAGTTGTATCCTCATTTTTGCATGTACCATGCTATATATGACACAAGTTGTATCCTCATTATTGCATGTATCATGCGATATATGACATAAGTTGTATCCTCATTATTGCATGTATCATACGATATATGACAGAAGTTGTATCCGCATTATTGCATGTATCATGCGATATATGACATAAGTTGTATTCTCATTATTTCATGTATCATACGATGTATGACACAAGTTGTATCCTCATTATTGCATGTATCATGCGATATATGACATAAGTTGTATTCTCATTATTTCATGTATCATACGATATATGACAGAAGTTGTATCCGCATTATTGCATGTATCATGCGATATATGACATAAGTTGTATCCTCATTATTGCATGTATCATACGATATATGACATAAGTTGTATCCTCATTATTGCATGTATCATGCGATATATGACACAAGTTGTATCCTCATTATTGCATGTATCATGCGATATATGACACAAGTTGTATCCTCATTATTGCATGTATCATGCGATATATGACACAAGTTGTATCCTCATTATTGCATGTATCATGCGATATATGACATAAGTTGTATCCTCATTATTGCATGTATCATGCTATATGGTATTATTTGGACTAAAATATGTAAAACATTATTTCACTTTAATAATGATGTTTTTATTTGTAGTACATATATTCCTCCGTATACATCAAATGTTATTAGGCATAATGATGTAAATATTTTTGATTTAATAGAATCAGGTATTGAGAAATACAAATTATTAGGAAAAATATTTATAAATGGAGATCTTAACTCTAGAACTGCAAACGAGCGCGATTTTATCATTTACGATAGGTTTTTAGATTCAAATTATGACTTAGAAAGTAATGTAAATATACCAGAAAGAAAAAACAAAGATAAAGTTCTTGATATTCATGGAAAACGACTTATAAACCTTTGTAAATCTACAAATATCGTTATAGCAAACGGCAGGTTAAAACATGATAACGGTATTGGGGAATTTACTTTAAAATATTAATAATACTGCAGCAACGGTAATAGATTATGTTCTAGCGAACTACAATGATTTCGAGCATATCTCAAATTTTGAAATTCAGTCACCGAATGAATTTTCTGATCACTGCGCTATACACTTTTGCTTAAATTGTAAATATTCATTCGAAGCACGTGACCAAATATCGACGCAAGGCGAACCAGTCATTTCATGGGATTATTCGCGCGCAAATGAGTTCTATGACAATATGTTGAGTCATTCAACCGAATTAAATCGTATTACTTTAAATTTAAGCGACAATATTGAATCAGTTGAAGAGTCACTACAATTATTTACTTCACTATTATGGGACAATGCGTTTAGTATATTTGGTAAATATAAGTTACCTAAAAACAAACGGAAAGTTAATTCAAATAAAAATAAATGGTTTAATACCGAATGTCTTCAAGCGCGAAGAGAATTTAATAAATCAAGAAATAAATATTTACGAAACAGGAACTCTGAAAATAAATTAGAGTTTTTAGATAAAAAACGATTATATATACAAATAAAACGTAAACAAAAAATAAAAATTAAACGTTTAGAGGGCAATCGTATTGCAGAGCTCGCTAAAAGTAATCCAAAATCTTTTTGGAGAAACATTAATTTGTAATATAAAAAGATGTCATCTGATCCCGTAAATGTACAGTTTCAAGATTTATTTGAACATTTCAACAAACTATATGGTGAACGACCCGAATCGAATGAAAATAATTTAAATGAAAATGAAAGTCAGGAAAACTATATCCAAGATGAAGATTTGGATATTGAATTCACAGAATCGGAAGTAAGAAACGCAGTATTTGTCCAGAATAATTCTAAAAGTCCAGGAATTATTATTGCATATATCATGCTATATGTGACACAAGTTGTATCCTCATTATTGCATGTATCATGCTATATGTGACACATGTTGTATCCGCATTATTGCATGTATCATGCGATATATGACAGAAGTTGTATCCGCATTATTGCATGTATCATGCGATATATGACAGAAGTTGTATCCGCATTATTGCATGTATCATGCTATATGTGACACAAGTTGTATCCGCATTATTGCATGTATCATGCGATATATGACAGAAGTTGTATCCGCATTATTGCATGTATCATGCGATATATGACAGAAGTTGTATCCTCATTATTGCATGTATCATGCTATATGTGACACAAGTTGTATCCTCATTATTGCATGTATCATGCGATATATGACAGAAGTTGTATCCTCATTATTGCATGTATCATGCGATATATGACAGAAGTTGTATCCTCATTATTGCATGTATCATGCGATATATGACATAAGTTGTATCCGCATTATTGCATGTATCATACGATATATGACATAAGTTGTATCATCATTATTGCATATCATCTGGTATATTTGCTACAATTATAATGAAATATATGTGAATAGAATGTGCCATAGGCTTGGTTACAGTACATTTGACAACAGTTTTACTTAGAACAATTTTTGAATACTTGCTGATTTATAATATCTCTAGGGTGGCTGATTTGTGCCATTCGTGTTTTTGCCCCGCCACCCCGCCATGCGAAAAGTCGAAAACTAACAAGTCAAAATGGCGGGAGCGCGGAGCGAAAACTCGCTAATAAGCGAGGGCGCTGGGCGAAGTTAAATACGAATGGCACAAATCAGCCACCATATATGACGGATTATTAAGTGTAATTACATGTTTATATTACAGGTAGAATTGATTGTGGTGTACAGACTGATGCCACAAGGTAATGATATTACTTAACACTATGTACCAATCATTTAAAGGTAAAATATCAATTAATCCAAAAAGTATTACAGAGGAATGATGCACGGCAATCTACTTTCAATTTATTAATTTTTTCTTAGTCGTTAATTATAATCAGTATTTGCAAACAGTCCGCAAACGTTAACATCCCATACTTCATTTACTTGACATCCCTAACTTCCGGTATTTTCCGGGGTGTCTTGATAAATATTAAACCTTGAATAAATGTCCTACATTTGTGTTCCGGACTTTTCACTTTGAACGAAGTAACCAATAATTTCAAATATAAAAATGTACATGAAGCACCCGCACGTGGTTATTCGCATTAATTGGTTATTCTCTGTTATTATTCTTTCATGAAAAAGAGGAATACATATATAAATTTCCCAAATTTAATGTAACTGTCACAAGTCTAAAGTTGAAAAAACTCAATATCGAAAAAAGTGTTTAAATAAAAAAATATACTTTAATTTCCAACAAAATAAAAATAATACATACATTTAAAGATGTATTAGATTATATTAAGCGTCGTTATTTGTATACCTATGAAGTGTATGAAAGGTGTTTTAACTCATCAAAATATGACAGGTATGCCATGAACACCTATTTTTAAATAAACCGATGATTTTATTGCATTACGCTAAGCAGTTGAAATGTCATCAAGAATCAAATTTCACTATACATGTACATGAATATCCAAGAAAATGTTATTTAATGATTTTTGAAAATTAAATACTGTACTTTTTAGTGAAATGTTTAGGTATTTTATCTATATTGTTGAAGCTTTTATTTTACAGTTCAAAGGTATTACATGAAGGAAATACCGCACGTGATGACACAAATGTTGATGAGCAGAGATTAAGGCGTGTAATAAGTGTTCGGAACTATAAGATTGAACACGATACACTCAAGAATGATTTTCATATTAACGATGTATCAGTTTTACCTACAGGAGATATTTTATTACTTGCCTCGAACAAGAGTAAGCTTATAAAAGTGAACAAACAATATAATGTTATCAGTACCTTATCAATAAATACTGGCCACTACCTATACAATGTGTGTCACATTGGTAATAATATTGCTATAGTACCAGATGATTACACGCTGTACTTTGTTGATGTAACAGGAGATATGTCATTGATCAGATCAGTCAGCACAAGCCATACATGTATTTCATTTACCTGTCATAGTGACACACTATATGTTGCAGACTTTAATTCCGTACAGGTTTATTTAGCTGATGGTGAATATATAAAACAGCTTTACACAACAGAAGACAATGGGTACATGTATGAATATACTGACATCGCAGTGAGTAATGACGGTAGTATGATATATATCTTGAACGATAAAAATCAGCTGACTACTATTGATAGCTCCGGTAACCATTTATTCACGATAGATATACCTGATATGGGACAATGTTATTATTTTCTAAATAGGATATGTGTAGATGATCAAGGTTTCATATTCGTATTAGGTGTAAATAGCGTAAATGTAGATGAAGATGAAGAAGAAACGCCGACTTTACTACAGATAAGTCCTGACGGCCAAAAATGTTATGGGGCGTTGTTCAATGTTGAAGATACTAATAATCGTTCGATACGGTTTGACAGTAATAAATGTGCATTAGTCTTATCAGAAATGTCAAACAATATTAAAGTTTTAAAGCTCCGTTAATACTTCATGCAAACTTTGAAAAATATATGTATCCAAAATGATTTACATGTTGAAACTTTTCCCTGGATACAAGATTTTTAACACTTATTATCTTCTCGCTTCTTTGCTTCACAAAAGTTCACTTGTACCTACCACCACTTACCACATACATTTTCTGATATTTTATACCAGTTCCAGTATGTTTGTCTGCTATTTACTGACAACTTCTCCACTTAAACATAGAAACCAGTAATAATTACATTTGTTTAAGTGTGTTAAAACATGTCTTTACACAGTAACACGAGACACATTAAATACTTGAATTTTAATATTCTAAGGACCTAATCAGCATAATTATACTTATATATAAAAATAGTATGGAAATCCCCTTTCGTTGTTTTCACATTGTGACAATATGTGAAACAATAAGACTTTCGTGCAAAACAAGATTCTTAACTGGCATGTTGTATTCGTTTTACTACAGTAACTCCTATACTAGCTATAACAATTTACTAGCAGAAATATGTTATCAAGTCATTAATCATTACACATTATTTAAACTTATCTTTATTTTAACTAAGTTATTACATGCGTTATCTTTCACACTACTTGTTTTAAAATTAATTATAAATAAACATCTGGTGTCATAATCATGTAATGTCGTTCGCCAGATATTTTCTAAGGCACTAATATTTAAAAGTTTAAGAAAATCTGATAGAAATATATTTTGCGACTTGAAGATTTGATGACACCATCAAAGAAAATGTTTCACGGTATCCGGGAAAAAAAAGCAAAAATGAGTGAAAAAATTGTTTATGCTTGACATGTCAGCTCACATAACACTGCACTCGCGCATATCAGTTATTATCTTTTTATTCGTAGCTACGTCACTCATGAACGCATCCCCGTCGGAAAATTGAAAAAAAAATACATCAATAATTGTTAAACGTTACCCATGAACATATTACAGACAGTATTTCTCTAAAATAACCTGAATTATTACGCAAAACGTTTGTTTTATTTCACTTACACATATGTACCGTAAACTTTACCACCCTAAAAATGTACGTGTTTTATAAAGTGAAAATATCACACACATGTTTTAATTGAGTGCAAGTATGATCCAGGTATTTTTATTAAATGCATGAATCAAACATCTGATACTGAGTGCAAATATCACACATGTTTTTATTGAGTGCAAGAATCACGCGTGTTTCATTGAGAGCAAGTATTACACGTGATTTTATTGAGTGCAAGTATCATACAGATATTTATTGAATGCATGTATCAAACATCTGATACTGAGTGCAAGTATCACACATGTTTTTATTGAGTGCAAGAATCATGCTTGTTTCATTGAGAGCATGTATTACACGTGTTTTTATTCAGTGCAAGTATCACACATGTTTTTATTGAGTGCAAGAATCACGCGTGCTTTATTGAGAGCAAGTATTACACGTGTTTTTATTAAGTGCAAGTATCACAAGTGTCTCATTGAGAGCAAGTATTTCACGTGATTTATTGAGTGCAAATATCACACATGCTTTTCTCAAGTGCAAGAATGACGCGTATTTCATTGAGAGCAAGTTTCATACGTGATTTTATTGAGTGCAAGTATCACACATGTATTTACTGAATTCATGTATCACACATGTTTTATTGATTGCAAGAATCACGCGTGTTTCATTGAGAGCAAGTATTATACGTCGTTTTATTGATGGCATAAATTACACATAATAAGTTGTAATGAGTGCAAGTATCATATATGTATTTATTGAGTGCAAGAATCATACATTTTTTTTTATTGAGAGCAAGTTTCAGCCATCATTTTATTGAGTGCAATATTCATAGATGTTTTATTTGCAAGTATCATACATGCTTTTATTGAGAGCAAGTTTCAGCCATCAATTTATCGAGTGCAAGCATCACACATATTTTTACTCTCCTTGTTTATGCATTTGGTAGGCGGGATGTAGCAATATTGTATCCCACAAACTGAAGTGTTTTTTTATGCTTCAGTAACACATTGACAATAAGTTGTCATTGCAAATATTAAAAAAAATATTATATTATATTGATTTGTATTATATTATATTGATATTGTATTGTATTGTAAAACAATGTTACTGTAAACAGAGAATTTTGTAAACATAGCTCGTACAAGTATTAGTTAAGTTGCGTAAAATAAAGTTTTGAGAAGTACTATTCTTTTTTATTTCATTCTACATTTACGTTACATATTGCTTCACAATACAGTTTAAAAATACTGAATGCCGTTAGGGCCATCGTTGTTATATTTTATAATCCAGTGGCCGACAATGCGATAGTGCGATGGCGACAGAGCAATAACGCAATGACGACATTACGATAAGGCGGCAGTGCGATGACGACAGTGCGATAACGCGAGGGCGACAATACGATAGTGGGATAGTACTATCGCGTTATCGCCATTGCATTATCGCACTGTCATCATTGCACTATTGCACTGTCGTCATCGCACTGTCATATTGTCGTCATCGCACTAACGCATTGTCGCATTTTGGATTATATAGATTTTTATTTGATAGAATATGGGAAAATAATTTTATTTTTTGTCAATAGATTTCTTTCTCTTTTTCTATTTTGTATAATTAAAACGTCTAAATGAAAAAATAATTAATAAAAAGTAACATTTTATATCAAAAGATAGGGAAAATACTTAAAGGGTTAATATGGGTATAGAGCTGTCATGATTTTATTTTGGAAGAGAATTTGATTCATGTTTCCCGGAAACGTAAGGTTGATAAATTTATGTTTGAACTGTAATTTTAGTGGCGTTTTCAAGTGATCGAATTTAGCGTTGAAATGAGCTGTTACACCAAGAAAGAAATGTTTTTGTCGCATATTTTCATGTAAACAGCACTCCAGTTTAATAATCACGCACGTCTAAAATGCATCAAACTAAACGCCGGTTATAAAAGAAGTAACGATAAATTTCTTCAAAACAGGTATGCCGCGTCAGAGTTAGACCTTATAGTTTTCGAGAAGTGGTGCAAACGATGTTGTTTACATTGTAAATCAATAAAAGGGTGGTAGATCTAGCCTACATTTTTATTATATTTCTTTGAGTTGTTTCCCTTGCAATGCGCGGACAGTCTATATTTTGTGTCATAATACCATTTTTCTAAGGAATATTCGCAGAACCATCGCAGTTATACTCCAGAAGGCGACAAGACGACAATGCGATGTCAACAATACGACAGTGCTATGATGGCAATGCGATAGTGCGATGGCGACAATGCGATGGCCACAGTGCAATAACCCGATGACGACAATGCAATAATGTGATGGCGACAATACGATAGTGTGATAATATTATAGCATTGTCGCCTTCGTTGTTTCGTCCTGTCGCCATCATGTTCTGGCTTCCAAAACTTATAAGCCGCTTTTAAATATATTTTTTTAATTTTCAGCCGCTGCGGCACGTCATGTCATAGTATAAAAACGTGTACGCTGAAGACCTTAAGCTTGTCGCCTTCACGCTATCGCACTGTCGTCATCGCGTTATAGCACTGTCGCATTATCGCACTGTTGTCATCGCGTTATCGCATTGCCGTCATCGCACTATCGTATTGTCGCCATCGTGTTATCGCATTGTCGACTATCGCCTTCCAGTCTGATCGGGCGGCTCTAAACTGCTGACGAATGAGCTGACGATATAGAATATTGGAAAATAATTTTACTTTTGAAAATAGATTTTTTTGAGAGGGGGGGCGGGGGTTTCTTTTTTGTTATTTTTTTCTTTTTTTCTTTTGTATACTTTAAACGTCTAAATAAAATTATAAATGAATAATAAGTAATATTTTATATCCAAAGATAGGGGAAATACTTAGAGATTTATACATACACGGAAAATGAAATAAATTGTTTAACACTTTGATATAGCCGAAATATTTCTGATGAAAATGATGTTATGTTGATATTTAAAAGATGCAAAAAAGTAAGAATAGATCTAAATGTTTATTGCTTATAGAAAAAGACATACATATCATATTCATAGACCATATTTTGAAATATGTACAAAAATAAAACTTTGTAATGCACACCGTATTACCGGCGCCAGTGATGGCAGATCACTGCAGTTATGGCAGATACCTGAAATTTACCGCTTGGTACAGGTAGGTTATAAATTTGGTTGGTATTATTATATTACACAAATACGGCCCATTTCATTGCTATGAAACTATTGTCCATTGACTGGAGATACTATTAGGTAATTTTGGACTCGTGTTTCCTGTTTTTAGACTATTTTGAGCAGGTTAAAAGTGACAGCTTCGGAAAAATCCGTGAAAATGTCTGTTTTTTGGTTCAAAATATCTCAAGTTTTAACTAAATGGCAGGATTTCGTGTTATTAATACAGACGTTCATCCATTGGGGTAACGCAAGCCAAATATCTACCCTGTGAGTATTTTCTTGAAAGTTTTACAGACGTTCAATCTGGTCTGGGCTGCTGTTGTAGGTAGATACTTATTTTAAATGCTGCCGTCGATGGCAGAAATACAATGAAAGTGGCTAACATTCTGACAGAAAATCAAGGTCAATCTTTTATCAATTCCTCTATTCTTTGCACTCTTTTAGTCGGAATTGAGATGTTAAACTATCATTTCTAATATTTTCTCAAGATAGAAAAGTTAACATGAAGAAATTCATTTTTCTATATTCATGCATGTTTGCTTGATCTGTTGTGTCTGCCAGTTACATGCATACAATACCATATGTATTTTAAGTTTAGCAGCGCATAATTCACTCCCTTTTCAAATGAGGGAAACAAAGCGTTTGAATAAAACAGTAGCTCCAATAAGTGGATATTCATTTGCTAGCATTTGACACTATTTTTGAATAATAATTTTTCAATCGCTTTATGACATATAAAGGCGAAATTTATCTAGTCGGCTGCTAATGTGTAATTATAGAAATTTAAGAGTTACTAAATCCATGTAATATAGGGACGATTATTAACCTTTCAACTGAACAAGATCTGTGGACATCAGTGTAAAATGGAGATTAAGATAAATTGTCTCTTTCGATTTTCACTATTATATTAAAATACATGGCACACAGTTGTAATGCTACCTTTTAGGAGGATGACTATTCGTCGTCCGTCTCTTCATCGTATGTTCGCCCTCCCATCATTCGTAATAGAGAAATACAGAATCCCTTAAGAAAGTCCAACACGACAAAATTGAAAATGTTGCAGGCTTGGTTTGATTGAGCCTGTTCATGGACGGTAATGGAATGTGCAAGCTACCGTCCACGCCCCCAGCACCGGCTTAAGCAGAATTCAACATTTTAAGTCCATATCTTCTTTGACTTACGGGAAAGCTGCTTTAAATTCGATTTGATATAGTCAAAGCGGTTTATCACAAGGTATTCAACAAATATTCACGAGTTACGCCTCAAAGTCTAGTTTGATTAGAAAGTTGCCTATATCAAATTGAAACATTTCAAAGGGCTGATAATTATAACAGAGACAAATTTTGATAAATCTTTCTCAGACTAAGTTTAAGTATGAGCGTGAGGGGGTATACGTAGGTCTCCTACATGCAAATACTATTCTGTTCAATAAGTTATACCAAAAATACTTGTGTTTAACCTATTCTAGCAATAAAATATACTACAGTGTGTAGGTATTTACTGATATTGAAATATTAAGAGCTTGCACATAAAGCAATTTGAGTGAAATGTAACAGAAGTGCTTGTGGATATTTATTTTGTTGAATGATTTTTGACTGAGTTGTGGCACTTGCATAACAAAAGCCGTATGTGACCTTTGAACGCTCTTGTTTTAGATAATTTTTGCACTATTTTTTTTCTTGCCAAAGGTCGATCTAAAATCTGTTTGACTACCTGTAAAATATACAGGGAAGAACTGAATATATGAAGAGTTTTCATAAAAAATCAGAATTTTAGTTATTTTAATTATTCCTCCTGAAAGTTTACATTCCCTTCAGACAAATGAACAACTTTAGATATGAAAGAAGTTTGAGAATAAACAAAAGTTTTCTGAATTATTATTATCCAAAGACTTGCCAAAGGGATTAAATCTCTTTTATATCCATATTTCTTATATTTCTTTTCTTATACAATTTATCGTTAGGGTTTGCTTTTAGGTTAATTGTTTATTAAAGAAGTGTGAAAGAAATATAATTATTGTGCGTGAAGTGCTTCAATAAGTTCCTGCTTTCATTGGACCAATCTGTTTGTATGTTTACTTCAAAGGTGTTTTGGATTGGATTTTCAATGGATGTGTGGGTCGACTGATTTATGTCACATTTGCAATAGACACTACAATGGTTATAACAAATTCCACTAGCTTTATTGAAGGAGAATAAGCCCAGTAAATGACAAATGAAGCAGACGAACATAACTGACACAACAAGCAATAGTATGCTGATGTAACATGTTACATTTTACAATACAGCAAGGAATGATGCTGGTGTGAAAAGAGTTTTCATATAGAACTTAAACCTTACAAATAGATACACGAAATTGCTATCCACTCATCTCATAAGAACTTAAAATGACAATTAGCAAGTGTTTTTAAAACTTAGTTCTCTCAATCTCATTTACTGATTTATGCAAAGACTTAATCATGATTTAAACGTTTGATAGATTTACAGATTACGTACTTGCACGTTTGTTGAAAAAAATACCTTGTTACATGTACGCGATATTGCGCCATATAAATGGTGCTGTAACTGTAACATACTAGATATTCTCATTCTATTGTGCAATAAATGCAGATGTGAAAAGATAGACCATTGGTGTAAAGTACGTTTTAAGTGTAAGTTCACTTTTAAACATTTTCATATAATATCGATCATGACTAAACACTCTACTATAAGCAATAATATATATGTTAAAATAGCATGAATGTGCCAGTTTATCTTACAATATAATTACTTATAGAAACAACGATTAAACACACAGCAGTGACTAATTTCGGTATATACCATATCAAAGTACAATAAAAATAATTTGTTTTAATTCTGTTCGCTAACTTCATATATTGATGAGATACAAATATCTGGTTGATATTATGACTTATGGAAACTGTATTATATTGTATGTGTGTCGTGTATATATATCTATATAAACATCCACATTATAAGAATTAGTTCAGAAGTATGTTGACATCACACAAGATCAACAAAACATTTTC